TCAAGAAGAGTTAAATAGCCAAGAACAAAGTGAGTCAGGGGAGAGTGACAGATGCTGAAACTGAAGGGGTGAGCTGAAGCCAGAAGCTGCCTTGCTCATCACGAGCATCACAGCATTCATGACAGAGTGTATCAGAGGGCCTCATGCACCATGGTACAGGTCTGATTTTATTCCACAATAAAGGAAGCCACTGAAGGTTATGCTGTCCTATTATTTGTATTTATATACGTTAAAGATAATATGACTGCTGACAGGGCAACAAGCAGTGTGTAGGCAGAAAGATAAGCAGAAAGACCAGTGAGGAGTTGTAGCAGTAACCAAAAAGGAAACTGAAGTGCACAATGTAAAGAGTTTGGAAGGCATGGGTAATGAGAGCATTGAGTATAATTAGGAGAATCCATAACTAAGTGATAAGACCATTGGTGATAAACTGGGGAATGGGATTGATCAAATAATATTATGTCCATGAAAAAAATGCCATAATAAATACCACTGTTGTGTAAAATTATAATGCACCAATTAAAAAAAAAAAGGGAAAGAACATTGATGATAAACCTAACTGAGAATCTAGATTTTCTTCAAATGGAAACAGAAAATAAGGATGTAAGATATGGTGAGATTAATTCTGAAACCATCTGGGGGAAAATGGATGTCCAAACCTAACACATTCTTTTGTTCAGATCCAAATTATATCCTTTTGTGGTACCTCCTATAAATAGGTTGTTGTGGCAAAGGGGACAGGGAGTGCTGTGTGTTGACAGTGGAGGAAGGGTACATTGGGGGATGAGTTTTGGCTTAACAAAAGCATAAGGAGATCTGTGGGTCTCCTCTAACTCCCATTGTGGACTGTGTTTATTCAGGACACTATCAGTCTTGTTGAGAACATGACTTCTCTTGATGTTACAGAGGCTGACATTGATGTGTAGAATTAGAGCAATTTTGCCAGGAGAAAATGTAACTTATAATTCTTTGTAAGCCACGATTCAAGTTCTGACAATTTTATTTCTTTCAAAACTTGTAGTGTTTTTTTATTTATGCTAAATGTTTTCTGCATATTCTTTATCTTTTTAAACACAATCATACTTCATTATGGTTCGCATTCTAGAATCTGAATTCACTCTTATTTATCACTCTTCTTGTTTTTATTCATTCTTCTTCAGCTAAAAATCCCCTTGCTTTTTTTTTTATGTTTGTGACAAAACAAATGGTGCTGTCTGAGAGCATTTGTAAGTTAAATGTGAGATGGTAGCTACTATGAAAGGTAATGACTTTTGAAATCAATGTTATATGAAAAATAATTATTGGTATTTTAGAGCTCAATTCAGAATGACTAACTATAAATGGATGATTAGATCTATTGTAATTTTGCACTATTTTGTAGATATTAAAAAAGTCAGTACACTGATTTAGAGATAAGTAATGTAAAGAACAAGAGGACAAAAATCTTTATACCATAAAAAATAGATTACTGGCAGGGTGAGTTTGAAGGTTGGAAAGATGTGAGTGTGTTCAGGGATGGTGATAGACACCGAATTGTGAAATCACTTCAGCTGCCTCAATTTTTAACTTATCCAGAAGTAAGGCAGGAATGATGAAGTACAAAAGTATGATCTATAATTGCTCTGTTTCTTTAGTAGTACCTTTCATGTCCCTGTTCACATTTTTATTCCCATTCTGTTCATGTGTCATTAGATTCAGAATCAATAAAAAACTCATCAATACCCCATCAATTATTTTTGTAGCTAAATGCTTTGCCTTAACCTAATACAGATACTTGGTGAATGGAGATCAGCTTTAAGAAAGGGAAAGAATCTGGTAGCTCAGCCAAGTATGGTGGTGCACCCCTGTAATCTGAGTGACTTGGATGGCTGAGCAAGAGGGTTCCACATTCAAGATCAGCTTCAGCAAATTAGTGAAGCTCTAAAAATTTGGTGAGACCCTGTATCAAAATAAAAAAATAATAAGGGCTGAGGATTGACTCATAGGTTAAGTATCCTTGGGTTCAATCCTCATTCCCCCCACACACCCCCCAAAAAAGAATCTGGAAGATTAAATTCTGTGTACTCCTATAAAAACCTTACCAAAGGTATTAAATTTATGAGTGCCAAATTTTAGTTGTCTGGAAGAGTAATATATAAAGAGTGCTCCTCACTGAGAGTTTTAGTTGGTTATAGGGAGTGAAGGTCATATCACTATTTTTTAAAAAAAGCAAGGGGATTTTTAGCTGAAGAATGAATAAAAACAAGAGGAGTGATAATTAATAGTGAATTCAGATTCTAAAATGTGAACCATATTGAAGTATGATTGTTTTTAAAAAGACAAAGAATACGCAGAAAATACTTAACATAAATAAATTTAATATTTATAATTCTACTACATGCATGTAATTTACAATGGTCCTGTGTGTGGTTCATTTTGTTTAAGTTAGACAGAAGTCATATTAATTGCACTACAGATAACCTGAAACAAATAGTTATGGAATTATAAGGTTCTAAAAGAGAAAATTAAATATCCCAGTATTGTCCCTACGTGTTATGGTAGTAATTATATTCTGGAATAATATTAATGAACTTACTGATTCATGAAATTATGTCACCAAGTTATGAAAATGTCAGGGTATTCTTTACAGTGGCCTTCTCATATAACTAAGGAGATCCAAGCCACATGACTACATAAATGTTTTCATCTTCAGCACTTCTCCTTATGCTGTATAGGATATACAGATCCTCTTTGGCAAACCTCATTTTGGATGTTGCTTGCCTTCTCCAGAACCAACCATTCTTAGTGTCTTTTTGGGCACAAGTGAAGGTCCCTTCAAATTGCACCTTGAATCACTTTTATAAGGAGGATTATTTCCTTTAATCTGTCCTTCAAAGTATTGGTGACAATATTTTTTTATTTATCCAAGTAAGGATTTTCCTCTGTTATTGGTCCTTTTGTCCCATATTCTGCACTATACTATACCAGTAATCCCTGGAAACATTAGCTTCTTTCTAGAAGAACAAGTGTAATACCGATTTCCCTCATTTTGCCTACATACTAATACATACATACTTCTTATAAGAATAAGCAATCATCCTCATGACAGAGCAGCTAAAAAGATTTCTAAATATCATTTTAAATACCATGACCTTGTTTCCTAACATCTAGAGCCATAAGAAGAGGCTATTAGCCATAAATTAAATTAAATATCAATGTCTTAATAATCATAGATACAATGGACAATATGTGAATGATGGAATACAGGTGTTTATTAGCAGAAAGCCTCCTTAATTTAATTACTGTTTATACTGCCAATACATCTCTACAAGGAGAGGAAATTCTACTTGGTATAAACAGGAGTTGAATAAAAATGAGTACTCTTAAGTAGCCCAGTGGAAGAATAGTTTGATTAAAGGTAATGCTTCATGATTGAAGGTAATGCAATCTACACATGAAGTCCAGTAAAAGCAGAACCCAAAGAGATGCATAAAATAGGTCAAAATCTCAAAGGGCTGTCCAGTAAGTTCATATGTGAATAGCTTAGGAGATGGTGGAATACATCATCTAATAATGTCCTTATTTGTATATATGTCTTTTATACTTTGTTCCCCAAAAAAGAGGGCCCAAGGGAAAGAAAAGTTATTATTATCAGAGGGTAGATTTCTAAAAGAAGGACATCACATGAGATTTAAAAAGCTCAACAACTTGGGCTGGGGTTGGGGCTCAGTGGTAGAGTACTTGCCTTGCATGGGTGGGGCACTGGGTTTGTTGCCTAGCACCACATTAAAAATATATATATAATAAAGATATGCATCCATCTACAACTAAAAAAATAAAAATATATAAATAACCTCAACAGGTCAACATTCCTGGAACAAGGGGTGAGAAAGCATATTTTCTCACTTTATATATTGGAACACTCCCAATGAAAATAGTGTGGCTCTTCTATCATGTTCTTCCTTTATTTCCTCAAGGATAAAAAATATTTTATCCTATCCTTACTCAGAATTTCAGAAAAAAAATGAAGTATAGGATTGCTGAACTGGGAGGGGTGAAAATAAAGGTCTGCTACATCATGTCTTATGCAGAAAAGAAGCCAAATCCCCATAAAGAATTCACTGTGGGATAATAAAGGTGCTGAGACATAGAACTGAACCAGATTTTGGCTTTAAGAATTCCTACCATCTTTCTCTGGCCCCCAACTCAGCAAGTCATTAGAATCATACATTACTGGTGGGACTGCAAATTGGTGCAGCCAATATAGAAAGTAATATGAAGATTCTTTGGAAATCTGGGAATGGAACCACCATTTGACCCAGCTATCCTACTCCTTGGTTTATACCCAAAGGACTTAAAATCAGTATACTACAGGGACATAGCCACATCAATGTTTATAGCAGCACAATTCACAATAGCTAAACTGTGGAGCCAACTTAGATGCCCTTCACTAGATGAATGGATAAAAAAAATGTGGCATATATACACAATGGAATTTTACTTAGCAATAAAAGAGAATAACATCATGGCATTAGCAGGTAAATTGATGGCATTGGAGAAGATAATACTAAGTGAAGTTTGCCAATCTCAAAAAAAACAAATTATGAATGTTTTCTCTGATATATGGAGGCTGATTCATAGTGGGGGAGGGAGGGGAAGCATGGGAGGAATAGACGAACTCTAGATAGGGCAGAGGGGTGGGAGGGAAAAGGAAGGGGCAGGGATTTAACAAGGATGGTGGAATGTGATGGACATCATTATCCAAAGTACATATGAAGACAGGAATTGGTGTCAACATACTTTATATACAACCAGCGATATGAAAAAATTGTGCTGTATATGTGTAATAAGAATTGTCATGTGTTCCACTGTCATTTATTTTTTAGAAAATTAATTTAAAAATTATCAATGAAAATAAAGTTTTAAAAAAAGAATATAAACAAATAAAAACAACCTGCCATGCATATCTCATTGGCAGGTGTCTAAACTTTGTTTTAAACAATCACCAACAAGTTTCCATCATGCTAGTCTTCAACCATTCCAGCTTCATGACCTTCACTCTGATGGGCATACCTGGCTTAGAGTCACAGCATTTGTGGCTATCTCTTCCTTTCTTCTCCATGTTTTTGGCTATCCTCATTGGCAACAGTGCTGTCCTCTTCCTCGTGATCACAGAGCCCACGCTTCACACACCAATGTACCTGTTCCTGGCCCTGCTGATGGTGACTGACCTCATATCTACTCTAACTCTGATGCCCAAGGTCCTGTGTCTCTTCTGGTTCAATGATAGAGACATAGCTTCCAGTGCCTGTTTCACCCAGATGTTCTTCATCCATGGAGCATCTGTAGTACGATCAGCCCTCCTTGTTGCAATGGCTTTTGACCGTTTTGTGGCTGTGTGTGAGCCATTACACTACAACACAATTCTGAGCCATTCTCTAGTTGGACGCCTGGGACTGCTGGCTGTAGCCAAGGGAGTGATTCTTATCCTGCCCATGCCTCTTCTACTTCAAAGGTTAACTTTCTGCCACAGGGTTATTCCTCACACATACTGTGACCACATGGCTGTGGTGAAAATGGCCTGTAGCCACACTAGACCCAATCGAATTTATGGACTCTTTGTGATCTTGCTCGTGGTAGGACTTGATCTGCTGCTTATTGGCTTCTCTTATGCCCTGATCCTGCAGGCTGTAGTACGCCTCAACTCTCGAGATGCCACCTTCAAAGCCCTCAACACCTGTTCAGCTCACCTCTTTGTCATCCTGGTCACTTATGTGCCTGCACTCTTTTCTTCTGTCACCCACCGTATTGGTCAAAATATCCCACCTCATGCCCATATTCTCCTCTCCAATCTCTACCTTCTCCTACCCTCGGTGCTCAACCCCATCATCTATGGTATGAAGATGAAGGAAATACGGGTCAAGGTAACCAAATGCCTGTGCAGAGGATCTGAATAGGATGCAGGTCCAAAACTAATCCTGCTAGTAAATGAACGATTAGGACAACTGACATTGCTTTTGTCCAACCATCTAAGACTCCATTGTATTACCAAATGAGTGGAAAGGATGGTCCATGGAAGTCTGCTTTCTTTCCTCCCTCCCTTTCTTCATTTTCCTTCCTGGTGAAATACATATTCCAAAAGATTTTATTGCAAGGAAAAACATGCATCCAAATGCATAATTGAAAAGATTTCTGAGACTGGAAGTACATATTTAAAAGCATGTGTAATAAGGAAGCTACCTATATCCAAAATGATATTCTTTTACTTGAAGTGATCTAGAGTGATGTGCATCATGCAGAAACTTGTATTGTTGTGATGATGAATGCCTAATTGATATTTTGTTGTTTTTGATGTTGTTTTTAATATAGATTTATGATTATACATAGTAGTTAGGTTTATCTTGACAAACTCATACCTGCATAGAAACTGATTTCTGCTCTTGATCTCCCTTTTTCCCTCTGGTTCTCCCTCCCTTCTCTCCTTCTCCTTCCTCTACTCTATGAGACTTCCTTTTATTTGTCCATTAATTGTTGGCATGTTTTAAATCATTGTAATGAGTGACATTTCTATTGAATTATTTTAAATATATATTTATCACCAGATCAATTGCACAATGTAAAATAGCAAATGCAAGATTAGATGGTTAAACAGAAATGATCCCTTTCTTAGAAAATGTTAAACAAAATGAAAATACAATGCATAAAAATGTTGAGAAAATTTATAGTCACAGTTTGAACATAATTTAAAATCAAGCATGTGACTATTGAATTTAAAGTTATGAAAAAAGATCCTACATAACCCAACTCCCGACAAATCTGTTATTGTTCTTGAAATTCTTAAAAAGGCAATGATATGAAGGATAAGTGTAATGTAACCACTCTATCCCTAGCCATGGCTCTTGACTAGTCCTAACTTACTATTCAATTCAGTGGACTGAACAAACTATGCATTCTGAGAATCTCTCTAATTATTGTGAAGAAAAATGGCTTTCTGTATTGGATAGTCCTTGCTCTTGGATTTCACCTTGTCCTGCCTCATATTTGGAATTAGAAGATGTCTACAAACAGAATAAAAATAAAACCCTCCTATTACTTGTATAAAAGAAGAGAAAAAACATTTACTCCAGCCTGTTCTGTTAATTTGCTCAGGAAAGAAATACCCCAAGTCATTCTTAACTAAGAAATTATTTTTTATGAAGTATATGTTAGGAAAACTTGGTATAGTGAGAAACGTGACAGAGTCAGATCATGAAGCTATGGTGGCTTCTTCATGACTTTTTAGTTTTTCCTGTTGAAGTTGAGAGAATGCAGCGGGGATTTATTCCTGACACTGACTTTTGGCCACTAGCATAATCAGCATGACACTGTTCAAAACAGAGAATAAGTTACTAGATATTAACTTACTAATGGAGAATTATAGTATTAAAACTTTAGATGAACAGAAGAATATACTGGGCAATAGGAAATCCTAAAAAAAGTTCAGAGCAACAACTAAGATTGGAGTATTTATTTCCTAAAATAGGAGTTAATGGAAGGGAAGGGTCCTACTTTATATACCTCGTCAGAAGTATCATCTGTTGAGGCAGTCCCGCTAGTTATGCTAGGTATTTTATAAATAATAGTTTATTGAATCATTCAAATATAATTCAACTTGTGTAATAGTATGTTTTGCATATTAAGTTATAAAGGTGAGATTTTTTTATATAACCTTCCCATAGTCACACACACAGTGTGTAGTTACACATAATTCAAATCCTGATCTATCTGAGCATACCTTCTTCCCATTTTGCTATGTCCATGTCGCCTGGTTGGAGATAACCAGGAAAGGCATGGAGCAAGGTTAAGTAGAACACTTGGTAGGGGTGGCTTCAATCATAAAAATGTGGCAATAATCACATGAGTACCTCCAACCTAACATCACAAGTTAATTTAAGACGTACTTTTGTATAAACAGTTACAAACTGTGTGGAGAATTGAAAATATCTTCCATTACCAGTTATATTTAATGCACTGTCCCACCCCCACCCAATCTCCACTCTTCTGAGACATATTGTATCCCTACAAGTTAGTTTGGATGGAGTGCATCACCCAGTCTCCATTGTCACCTGGCTCCTGATTAGATTTGCCAAAGAGAACTATGTTAGTCTGGGTCTTCAAAGGAGATAATAGTAAA